GTTTATTTCTGTCATTCTCATTGATAATGTAACCAGTCATGTAATTAAGCATCCTTTTATAAGAATTTCAAAAATAAACAGTATTAAGGTATTTGTGATTATTCCATTTAAAAAAGTCAAATCAGCCAAAAACAAAAGTCGTAGAAACTTTGTTCTATCACGGATTTTAAAGTCTGTTCTGCTGAGAAGTCTATAGATCTCGGCGTAAGCAAACATAAAATAGAAGAAATTGCCTAGAGCTTGTCTTTCAAAATGTGGTCTGCAATGTCTGCATCAGTTGTATGTTAGAAATTTGGAATCTACTCCCCAAACCTACAGAATCAAAATCTGCCTTTTGAATAAGAACCCTCAGTGACTCATATGGACATTAAAATTTAAGCAACACTGTTTGGGGAAGATTAGGTCCAGCCTTAGAACTGCAAATGTCACAACCCTTTAAAAATTAGAAACTTGATCCAGATCTTGCCAGGAGGTTATCAGAAATAGAGTATCATTTACCTACAGGTACAGACTTTTTTAATAGTAAGAGCTTGAGACTATTGAGAAAATCTTAAAGGAGTACATTACGATATTAATCAATACGATCTTATAAAATTGGCTCAAATACCATGAGTTCATAATTTTCCCAAGCATGTGTATTTTTATTAGCGTTTAAATGTGGACATTAAATACTGTTGTCACCTGAATACTTAAGTAAAGTTAGATCCACCTGCAATCCTGTAACCGTTCTTAGAAGCTCTAATGTTTATGATGCTTATTCTGTGAAGAAAAAGAGTTGTGTGTCTAATAAAGGGACCCGACAGGGAAAGAATCCTCAGTATATACATCCATAATTAGGGTAGTTCTAAAACATTCTGTGGTATTTTATCATTTAAAAGGCACTATGGCATTTCTTATCTGATCTCATCGCAGGGAGTGAAACATGGCTCTAACAGTTCTGAATTCCGAGGCTAGCCTCCATTATCACACAGGATCTGTGTTTTCCCCAACGCTTTCTAAAAGAAGCAGAAATTCAGTGAGGTAGCTATTGCATTTGTGTCAGCGATTTCATTTGCTTATAAAATGAGCTTTGTGGCCAGAGCTGTGTGTTCTGTTTCTTACAGGCACAAAGAAAATTCTGTGGCCAAGTGAAATACCACTCTCACTGCACCCACTCTGCAAACGTATCTTCTGTTAAAAGAAGGAAGGCACAATAGAGAATATAGAGTTTAACACACATTCACTCAAAATTTAGCACCCAACATGATGCTGACATGTAGCTTGTTATATATGCCACCTTCAACTTCCTGTCGGTTAGAGCTTAACATACATGCACCCAACATTTAGCATCTAACATGATGCTGACATGTAACTTGTTACATATCATGTCTACGACAGCTTCCTGTAAGTTTAAAAGTAAGAGTTACATTAATATTGCCTAATTAATGCAAGACACATAATTCAAAGATAAGAATAGAGCAGTGATTTTGAGTCAGGTGTAAAAGTGAACTTCAGACGGCCTCTTCCTATGAACTGCAAACATAAGAATGCAGGAGTCAGCACTAGAGAACTGGGTGTACATGCTACATTTGAGTAATACTGAGATTAGCAACCATGTCTGGGAAGGAACTGGCAGCTGTCTTATTCTTAGCTTGCCATTGCCCTCAAGTGAAAACAAGGCATGAATGAGATGCTATAAATTAAAATGTCATCTCTGACCCTTCAAAAGACAGTTCACTGGGTGTTGCTGATTTTATTCTGATGTTTTAACAATGCAGGAACATATTTCTAAATGTAGCTAGTTAAGGTAGCATGATTTATCAAAGCACAAAATACAAAACAGATATAACCTTAGCATTATCTTTTTTAAAAGGAGATCTGACTATTTTACCAAGAATTGACTATTTGATTTTTGATTTGCCTTGGACCCTTGAGAAGGCCCTCACACACACACGCAAGGCAGAAAACTCCAGTAGTAATCTGTCACTCTTCGTTACCAAGATGTAAAGTTTATGGAACTCCACCTCTTAAATAAATGCAGACACTGTGAACAACAGAAGAGGATGTAGTGTTCCGTGACCCTGGTCTTTGCAGATCTGAGGACTTTTAAAAATAGTTCTTATAGTTCTATTCTTGTCTATGTTTAAAGAACGGCTATATACAAACACCCCAAATTCAGCTACTTGGTAATTTGTATAGATTAAGCTCTCCAAGCAGTATCATCAAAATTCCTCTCAGAAAAGTAAACGCTAATATCTATGTCTTTTCCCACTAGAATCTCCTACAGCTTCTCAAAAATAAAGTGGTTGGCACTGTATTATCATCTGTTCACTTTTCCCTAGTAAGTTTATCATTAAATGTGCATGTCTCTAAACCTCCTTCTTTTTCTTTCTGTCTCTTCCTGACTTGTGTAAACTCATTAAGGTGATACAAAGGGTTGGCAAAAACTCCCTCCCCACTAAATAAATATGTAATAATTCAAAAAAATCCTATTACAAATGCTGAATAATAATTCTAACAGAATGCCATAACGCTGTCCTTTCTCACACAGCAATGAATCTCCAGTGGCCATTCCTTCCACGGGTCCTTCAGTTTAAGAAGGAAGCTTCTAAAACTAAGAGTCTCGTCTGTGTTATGTACATTGTAGGGATCCAAAATCTAAACGTTCCCTGTCCCAGGAGATGAATTAATATCTTACGTTCATTCTTTTAGTAATATTATCAATATCAATTCAAAGAGATTTAAAAGAAAACTTTCAGCATTACATTTTTCCCTATTCTAATTATAATAAATAATCATTGCCAAAGTGCCTGGGCCTTCTGTGAGAAGTTGCTGGAAAATCAAATCCACATCAGTTGAAATAGACTCTTGGAGTACAGAGTCTGAACTGCTGTTGGACTTATCTCAAGCACAAAAACAGCCATTGTCTCTACACAACAGAACTCTGCATTGATTAAAAAAAAAAGGCTGCTGCTGCTTTATCTAAGAGATAATAACTCTATTTTTAAAAGTCAAATTAGCTCTGTCTTTTGCATGCCTGAGTTACTGACATAGAATTTAGATGAATTAAGAATGGCTTCTCCAGGCTGGGCTCAGGGTGGTTCAAGCCTGTAATCCCAGCACTTTGGGAGGCCGAGGCGGGTGGATCACGAGGTCAAGGGATTGAGAACATCCTGGTCAACATGGTGAAACCACGTCTCTACTAAAAATACAAAAAATTAGCTGGGCATGGTGGCATGTGCCTGTAGTCCCAGCTACTCAGGAGGCTGAGGCAGGAGAATTGCCTGAACCCAGGAGGTGGAGGTTGCAGCGAGCCGAGATCGCACCAGCGTGGGTAACAAGAGTGAAACTCCATCTCAAAAAAAAAAGAATGGCTTTTCCAATTCACAGTGTGACCTCTCTTCGGTTGTAAAACTCATGCCTTAAGAGTATGGTGGGTAATAGTCTCTAAATACAGCTTCTAATGAGACTTCTCTTTCACAGGGGCCTTTCTTTCAATAAATTCTCATTTAAAATGGCGAATATGAAAAGAATTGTAAAAAGCAAAATAAGAATAACTTCAGAAAAATATTAATAAATGGATGATAATGAGTTAAACTGAAGTCTGAGATAAAATTTATAATGTAAACCTCTGGTTGAGGCTACTTTGAAGAAATTGCCATTGCTTTCCTCACCCGTCATGAAAACCACAGCTCAGCCAAAACTCTTGCCATTAGCTTCTACCTAACAATCCTCTCCTTGCTCCGGCATTTACCAACTTCCTGAACTCTCCTTATTCACTGAGGGTATGAGCCTTGAGCTCACATTCTCTCTTTCCTTAGTATCTAACTCCTCCCTCTCTATTGGCATTTTCACTGCCATTTAACAAGGTGAAGTCCCTCCTATTCTTTGAAAACAAAAAAGAAACAAGGTAAAGTTATTCTCCACATTCCTCTCCAATATATTTAATATACTATAATCAGAACATTTAGAAAAATTAAATTTCAGTCATGTGACTGACTACTTAACTGCCATCAAATTGTTCCCATTGCATTTATGCTAAAATCTGAGTCTTATTAGGACTTACCATCCTAGTCTCATCTGCCCCTCCACCTCCACCTCTGTTATCTATTCTCTAGTAATGCTGGGTCTGTTCTAGATCCTCACAAGCATTCTGGCCTTTTTTGCCTTGGACCATGCTGTTTTCTCTGCCTGGGACTTCTTGCTCTCGTCACCAAGATACTTTTCCTGTAGGTACCAGTTTAAATGTCATTTGGTCTGGGAAGCCTACCTTATTTCCTGGTTGATATGCTGCAATCTCAGTTCTTTTTCCAAAAAGACTGGTTTTGAGATTTAAATAATCCATTCCTATATCAACAATCTAAGACCTTAATAAATCTAAGGCGTTATTAAATCTAAGATGCTATCAAATCCATCGGCATAATATTTATTAGTATCCATTATTCTTGTTATTCCCACCTGCATGAATTCCAACCATTTAAATAATAAGATTCCACAAGGAAAACAGCCTTTTTTAATACCATGGAGAAAGATACTGTCGACAAGTTAATTCAGCATTATTCAGCAGGCTGTGGTTGGCACCATTTCAGCCTGTCCCATAATAATTTCTATGGCTATTCCATACAAAATAAATACACTCAAAGCCATAAGAACTAGAAAAAATTACATTTTAATAATTCTAAATGCATAATACCTCACAGAGGCAGCTTGTTTAAAGTCTTTACTCAGTACTCTTTTAGAAGCAGAATTTTTAAAATGTTATTTGAATTCCCAAGATGTGTATGTCACAAGAAAATCATTTGGTCTGACTCCAAGTGATCTCGGCTAATTGAAGACCTAGGCACAACGTTATTCTGACAGATAGCATCAGAGAACTATTCAAAATGTTATCATTCAAAGATCTAGGCAAACATAACCGCATTTGAAGAAGGCAGAACCTCTGATTTGTCAAGGAATTCAAGCAATTAAAGAGTGAACCATAGTTACACATGTTCAACAGCAAAGCAAATAAGGGAACTTACGCATGTCACCAAAGGCCCCCTTTGTCACTTTGGTCGCACGTAACACCACTACCGTAAGCTTGTGGGAATACTGGTGCTCCACCTGGAGATAAAATGACAGTAAATTTAAAATAAGCTTCCGGTAGAGAACCTCATTTTTCCCTTGAGACTAATTAAAAATATTCTACTTAAAAACAAGTAGCATGCATACCAGAAACATTCTTCGATCCTAAGGCTGCTCCTTTTTTGACTCTACTGTCCCATCACGGAATCTTTGAGAAGTTTAGATTGTGCCTTGAAATGTCGCTACAGCTTGACTATGAGCACTTCTTTGCAGTCCGGTTTACCAAGCACTTGGTGAAAAATGTAAAGCAGGACTGCAGGCATTCTAGGAGCACAATCAGGCTTTGTCCTCCTTGACTAGGAAGCCCCGGCTTATAAAGGTGAACTCAGAACGCGATGTTTGAGGTGTGTTTGTTGTTGTCGTGCTGTTCACTGAAGCAATCACTCAAAAGACTTTTTCTGCATGACATTTCCAGGACAGCTTTCAAAACCCTATGACCCGCCATAACCAGCAAACTAACTGCACTCATTTTAACTCATCTGTTAGAAATCACATGCAAGAATATTAAAATTTGCTATCTGCCTAATAGCTTACATAAACATAAGAAATATTAACAGGTAGAGAACTTCATTAGACACTTTACCTAAGTGGAAAACAGTAATCAAACAATCCTCACTAAAGCAGAATGAGGAAGCGGGAACTCACATAATTCTTGGAGCAGCTGAAAAGTTTACAAAGTCTTTATCTAAAACGGAAGCATGTCTTGTTTTAATCTTAGGAGAGGTAACTTCCCTTAAGTTTAGTAGGCTTGTTTAACTGGTTAAAAAGTTCATAATTAATTAAAAAGAGGCTCAGGTACTGACAATACTGAAAAGTGAGTAGTGACAGTCTAAATGCAAGGAGGCAAAAAAACATTGTCTAAAGTGTAGACAGATTCATAAGGACCAGCAGTAGTAGAACAGAGGGACAAAAACTAGAAAGCACTCAATAGCTCCTGTGGAAATCACTCCATCAATAGTATAATTAACATTCCAGTTTATAACCCAGCATGAAAGAGGTGAAGACACGGATAATAAGCACACCTTGCTAAAAAGGCAGAAAAGCATAAAGGTCTTTCAAAATGAGGCTTATTCAATTCTATTTTAAACAAGAAATACCTTCAACATCAAAGAGTTCTGAGTAGCCACTTTTATTGTACATAAATGAAAAGATCAATCATAAAAATATTTGGAACTAAATGAAATTGACAATACAAGCTGTCAAAATTTGATGCATTGAAAGCAGTACTTAGGGAAATTTATAGCACTGAATGCTACATTAAAAAAGAAGAAAGAATAAATTCAATAATCTAAGCTACTACCTCAGTACTAGAAAAAGAAGAGCAAATTAAATCCAAGGTCAGCAATAGAAAAATAGTAAAAATTAGAAGAGAAATCAATAAAATTTGAAACAGGAAATAAATAGAGAAAAATCAATGAAACCAAAATTTGGTTCTTTGGAAAAAATCAGTAAAATAAATGCTAACTAAGAAAAAAAAGAGAGAAATAATAAAACTACTAATACCAGAAATGATAAAGGACATTATTACAGATCGCATGGACACTAAAAGGACAACTAGAAATACTACAACAGCTCTATGCTCACAAATTTGATAATCTAGATGAAATGAACCAATTTTTTAAAATGACAGAATATCAAAATTTACATAAGAAATAGACAATCTAAATAGGCCCATATCTATTAAAAAATTGAATCAATAATTAATAACCTTACAAAACAGAAAGCATCATGTTCACATGGGTTCACCATTAAATTCTACCAAACATTTAACATCAAACTGTATCAATTTTCTACAACTCTTCCAGAGGATAAAAGCAGAGGGAATACTTCTTACTTCTTTCTTGGAGTAAAACTAGAAATAAAACATCACATTACCCTAATTCCAAAACTAGAAATAAAACATCACAAGAAAAGAAAACTACAGACCGATATTTCTCAAGAACATACATGCAAAAGTTCTCAACAAAATATTAGCAAACCAAGTCTAACAACATATAAAAAGAATTATACACCGGGCCGGGCACAGTGACTCATGCCTGTAATCCCAACACTTTGGCAGCCCAAGGCGGGCTCATCATCTGAGATCAGGAGTTTGAGACCAGCCTGGCTAAGATGGGGAAACCCCGTCTCTACTAAAAATACGAAAAAGTTAGCCAGCCGTGGTGGTGTGTGCCTGTAATCCCAGCTACTTCAGAGACTGAAGCAAGAGAATCACTTGAACCTGGGAGGCAGAGTTTGCAGTGATAGAGATAGCCCCACTGCACTCCAGCCTGGATGACAGAGCGGGACTCTGTCTCAAAAAAAAGGAAAGAAAGAAAAGAATTATACACCATGACCAAGTGGGGTTTATTTCAGATATGCAAGGTTCAGCATTCAAAAGTCTATTAATTTAATCCATCATATCAACCAGCTAAACAAGAAAAACTACATGATCATATCAACAGATTAATAAAAAGCATTTGACAAAATTTAACACCCATTCCTAATTTTAAAAATCTTTTAGCAAGCCCAAAATAGAAGGGAGCTTCATCAACTTGATAAGACATCTTCAAATAAACTATAATTAATGCCGTACTTAATGATGACAAAATAGAAGCCTCCTGGAAAAGATCAGGAACAAGGCAAGGAGGTTCCCTGCCATCAACCCTTTTCAACATTGTACTGGAAGCCCTACTTAAGGCAATAAGATAAGAAAAGGAAATAAAATGTATATAGATTGAGAATGAAGAAATAAAACTTTGTTCACAGATAACATGAATGTCTATTTAGAAAATCCAATATAATTAATTTTTTAAAAAACTTCTTAGAACTAATATGTGAATATAACAAGGTTGTAGGAGATAAGATCAATATACAAAAGTTAAATTGCTTTTCTACATACCAGAAATGAACAAAGAGACTTTGAAATTAAAAGCACACTTAATTAAAAATACTTCTATTAGCACTCCCCAAAATAAAATAGTTATAAATCTAACATAGTATTTAAAAGATCTATATGAAGAATACAAAACTCAGATGTAATAAATCAAAGAAAAACTAAATAAATGGAGAGATATTCCATATTCATGGATGGGAAGACTCAATAATGTAAAGATGTCAGTTCTTTCCAAAGTGATCTATAGATTCAACAAAGTCCCAATAAAAATCACAAACTATTCTGTGAAAATGAGAAACTGATTCTAAAATTCATATGAAGAGGCAAAAGACCCCAAAATGGTGAACACAAAATTGAAAGAGAAGAAAAAAGTTAGAGGACGGATGCTATGCAACTTCAAGACTTACTATAAAAGCTACAGTAACCAAAACAGTGCGGTACTGGCAATAAATAAATAAATAAATCAGGTCAACGGAACAGAATAGAGGAGAACATAAATAAAGTCAACTGATCTTTTACAAAGGAGAAAAGACAACACAATGAAGCAAAGATAGTCTTTTCAACAAACTGTGCTGGAACAACTGGACATCCACATGTAAAAAATAAATCTACACAGATTTTAACTGAGCTTGAAATACAATGAGAAAATGCTCTTGAAAATCTAACTTAAAAATTAGCTTTCTCCACTAAAGAAACCATCTCAATAATAATTATTATACATAATGATGCTCCCCTCCCAAAATCATCTATGCTCTTATTCCATATCTAAGAGCTTCTAAAATTACATGGGTTTTCAAATACCTAGAAACTTCCTTGTATCATAAAAATTGAGCAATATTTTAATCCACTAATTAATATTTGCCATTTGAAGTTGTTGCAAATATATTCATATATCAAATATTTCTTAATAAAACGTATAGAAAGATTGTTTTCATTACTCATTGAATGTAAGCCATATGTCATACATTCTACTAGACACCAACTGTCGTTTAATATTCCCAGCAATCCTATAGAATAGGTGTTATTATTTATATTTATAAATGAGTAAAATGAGATTCTGAGAGGCTCAGTAATTTCCCAGTAACTCATAGATAGTAAATGGTGACAGCCGGGCATGGTGGCTCACCGGGCATGGTGGCTCATCACCCAAAGTGACGGGATTACAAGTGGGTGGACCACGAGGTCAGGAGTTAGAGACCACTCTGACAAACATGGTGAAATTGAGTCTCTGCTAAAAATACAAAAATTAGCTGAGCGTGGTGGCACATGCCTGTAATCCCAGCTACTCAGGAGGCTGAGGTAGGAGAATCACTTGAACCCAGGGGGGCGGAGGTTGCAGTGAGCTGAGATGGAGCCACTGTACTTCAGCCCGGGCCACAGAGCAGAACTCAGTCTCAAAAAAAAAAAAGATCGTAAATGGTGACCTTTTACTATAATTCAGGCTTACTGTCCTGTGTCTGTGCCTATCTCTTTCTAAGAGCTTTAAGGATTAATAAGAAAGCATCTATAATAAAGTAAGCACATACTCTTGGAGAAAGATGTTCAGTTTCAATCAGTGATTATCCAAATAGTCTTTTGAGAATCATTTACCATGTTTCCTGGGGCCACAATCACAAGTAATTTCCAACTAGTCCAGACTGAACCAGGTCTCAACTTGGATAGAAGATGTTTGATTTTATCTCAGGGATAGTGCCAGAGGAAATTATATTACTGAATTCGCAACCAGTGTTCTCCAAGGGAAACTAATGACTCAGGAAGCTGGTGGCTGGTAGTTGACAGGGAGAGATGTCATTATTTTAATTGAGATGTCAAATCTAAGCTCAATCCATCAATTTAGTCATGAAGTTTAAGCTTTGCCTTCAGGTCTTGGATTACTCTGAGTGTATTTCTTCATCCATAATAGTTTCCATAGTAAAAACCAAGACTTTTTTCTTTTCAAAATTATAATTTTTTTATTCATTAAGAAAAAAGTTTTTTATTCATTCTGGATCAGTATATTGATATATGTAACAATGATTGGCATTGAAGAAAATAACCACTTTATACCAAGTCAATTTAATAATTACCTGGTCTGTTTAAAACTCTACTGATATAAGACATGAAC